GGCATTGCACGACACTCACATACATGCAGGCAATACAGTCATATACATAAAAAACAATATATAAACTGGGCGTGGTGGCACACGCCTTTAATCCCAGCACTTGGGAGGCAGAGGCAGAGGATCTCTGTGAGTTCAAGGCCAGCCTGATCTATATAGTGAGTTCCAGGACAGCTGGGGCTACAGGGAGACCCTGTCTCAAAAAGACCAATAATAATAATAATAAATATTTTTTAAAAATCTTCTTGATAAACTATAGAAGAGCAAAAAGCAATCTCTTGAGCCTAAAAATTAACCTTAATTTCTATTCAATTCCATACCTTCACAGTTTCTCTCATTCAAATGCTTAAATATCTAAGGTAACTTTAATAAAATGTTAAGAGAAAAAGAAAAACTAAGGAAAAATGCTAAATAATTCAAGGTAGGCTAATTCTTTATAAAATATCGTTTTCCTCCAGACACAGACATACACAGACATACGTACACACATACACACACACACACTTCAAATGCTGCTCTTTCACGTCTATGTAATCTTTTTTAATTGATAGATAATAATTGTACATATTTATGTCTATGTAATTTGAATAATTTAAAATCTAAGCCTCTAATTCTAGTCTGGAAATGGGGATAAAAAGCTACATATTAGGATGCAATGGCCTCTAAGACATCACATAGAGGACTTTAGCCAGCCATTATGCAAACACAAGTTTAAATATATGTTAACTTTTAATGTAAACCAAGACTTCAATGCTATGCTTACCTATGGAAAAATCCTATTTTCTGTGGCAACTGTCTTCATGAAAACCTCCTTGGTGACAGGAGCATCATAAACAGAATAGATACAACTGTCCAGGATGACCACAATGCTCCCTCCTCTTTCAAGAGAGGTACACTGCTTAGGCAGTAAGCTATCCTCACTGGACTTACCATGTTTCCTTATATAATTTAAAAGTATCTTGTAGGCAATGCCTGTGTTCTGCCCACTTCTATATCCCCAGACTGTGACCCAGTGGTTTTTAACCCTGACTCACATTAGAACTACATGGGAGTTTATAAAAATATTAATGCCTGGGCTCTATCCCAAACCCATTAAATCACATGGGAGTGGGAGTGGAGGGCAGGAAGGGCCAGGAATCAGCAGGGGGAGCATTTATTTTAAGATCTGTACATGATGTCAACAAGCTGCCAAAGTTAAGACTCACTACACTCTGACACTTGAAATACTGTATTTGTGTGCACATGTATATAAGAATATACGTATGAATATATGGGCATCAGAATTTATGTCAATGCAAGAGATTCATCCTCAAGTTGGTCCCAGCTCAGTCATCTCTTCCCTTTAAATGCACAGCATTCTAATAAATAACCATTACATGTTTTACTGCCAAGCTTCCACACTGCTGAACTCAGTGCTTACACTTTTCTTCCTGTTGCTATACCCTACCCTTCTTTCTAGATTCCAGCCTTGCTCTCTCTAAATATATACTGTTTTATTCTTCATGTCTTGTCCAGTTTGCTTAGCCAATGCCATGAATACACACATGTAATAATCAGGTCTAATTTGAAAAACATACACAAAAGCTACCAGCAAGAAGTATGCCATGCCCAAATTATGCACTTCAGGCTAATTACTGTCACACACAAAAAGGAGAAAATGAAAAAATACGGAGAAAAGGTTACAAAATGCTTCCTAATAAATGAAAACTAAATTTTACTTCAGTATAGGGCATCTGGGTATTTGGACTTTTGTAGTCAATAGAGTACCCACCCTATATCCCATCCCCCACCCGGCAGTTTCGGGTTTTAGCCCGTTTCCTTGCCAAAGCTATCTCTTAGTTGATATGGTGTCTTTGGTTGCAGTCAGGCACCTTTGCAGCAAAGTACTGAACACACTGTGACCAATGGAGTGATTAAATAGAAGCCACAGTGAATATGTCGCACGGATGTTTGATCTGTACTTCTAGAAGAACGACTTTATCAACCACTGAACTAGCTTCTCTACATACAAACTTCATGCTAATCTAATATAAACTTGGTTGGGGTTATATTCTGAAAGCAGAAAGGTCTCAACACTAGATAAAATGTAAGTCTGCTTTTCACTACTGACAGATTGGGTGGTACCTAAAATGTTTCTAAAATAGAACTTTCAAAAACAGGAGTGCTAAACTATGTTAACACAAGAAACCCTTCAGCAAGTGACTCTCTCGCTGTTAAAAACTGCTAGAGGAAGAGTATCTAATTCTAAAGCGGCAGCACTCTAAAGACATGGAAACATTCACCTTCCAAGTTCTGCAATGCACATTCTGTAAACAATCTGAAAAGCTGTCCTAAAAACCTAAAACTGTGGGAAGGAAACATTCAAGAAGTATGCCTGCTAATTAGATACTGTGGTTAAATATTACTTTGTTTTGTTGGGTCCTACAGCTTGAAACAGAACCATGGTTACCACTAAAGAAAGCAATCCTCAATTCCCTATTCAATAAAAAAAAGTTCAAATTCCACAGACAAAAAAAAAAAAAAAATGGTACCCTGGGTTGTTTGTTTTTAAGGAAGATTAAATTTAGGAGTTGCCAACACCCAAACGAAAAACATTCCAGAGTATTCGACTCAATTGTAGTGGGGAGTCATCTACATTCTCAGCACTGTTCCCTCACTCAAAGGACTAGGAACAAAGGATGTTTCTTAGTCTCTCACAAGATACACCCTACTTATTTCCCCTAGAAAACACTATTCTTGTTTTTAAAAGGTAATTAAAAAATAACTTTAGCACAAGCAGGCAGACAAAAAGTGAAGTTTAATGTCTGTCAACCTATTTCCCAAAATAAAGATCCCTGTCAGATGAAGCAGGAGTAAAAGGCTGAAAAGACTGAAAACGACAAGGTCTTTTATTTGGAGCATAAGCTACTTTTAAAAATAAAACTGAGGAATGCAGCTTTTCCAAAGCTTTGTCTTCAATTTCCCCTTAATCTTCATCTTTTTACATATTTAAAAAAACTGGAAATTTGATTACCATTCTTAAGAATTCCTTTAAAAGCAACTTTAATGAGTAGCAGACATCTTTTGCAAGTAGTAAACCACAGAGGACAGTTGTTCTGATGGATAAAAATCTCTCTGAAACATTCACATAAAAACATAAAAATACAGAGACATACTCTGATTTTACAGGTAGAGAAATCATAATATTTAAAATCATAAATATCAATATACTCCCTAACTTACTGCAAATGATTTTACTTAAACTAGTATTAAAGTCAGTAAGATCTTAGGGAGCAAGGTGGTGGGTCTTGCAAACATGTAGCCCAGGCTGGTCTCAAACTCCCAATCCTCCTGCCTCAGCCTCATAAGGCTGGAATTATAGGTATGTACCACAATGCCTGGCTTTTAATGTTTTTTTGTTCTGTTTGACTTTGCAGTGCTGGGGATCACACACTGGGCCTTAATGCATGCTAAGCAAATGCTCTCCACTGAGCAACACCCCCAGCCCAAAGTTACTAAATATTTTAATAGACATTTAATGGCCAAGAATAAAAGGGAAAAAAATGAAAACTTAAAAAGCCATTAAGTAAAAGATGTGGCTTCCCACGGTGCCAAACAGTCAAACCACTTCCACCAAAGAGTTTGGGATTATTTTCTTTCAGGTAGATGGGAGTAAGATTATACACACTTGGGTAACATTTTTTACCAGTCATCTAAAGAAATGCGGTTTCTGATGCCTGGAGAAATATCTTGGGATCAAAAATACTCAAAACAAAAAAGCACATCTCCCACAAATGTTTTCCACACTGTTAAAAACAGCAAGAGATCTCTAAACCTACAGAACTGTAATTGTTAGAGCATTCCAACTGTCCAAAATATCATTCAGGAAAAATAAAAGAGTAAGAGCAGGGGAGAGGGGGAGGGGGAGGGGAGGGGAGGAGAGAGAGGGAGGGAGGGAGGGAGGGGGAGAGAGAGAGAGAGAGAGAGAGAGAGAGAGAGAGAGAGAGAGAGAGAATTCGCGCGGTTGCGCGCGTGTTCAGGAACTGTTCCGAAACTGGTACAGTGCAGACGTTCCATTGGACATTCTCATCTCGGATTTGCTGCGACACCGCTGCCTTGGATATTGCTATATCTATACTCTCTATACAGGTGTTTTACTTGTAAAGACTCTAAGAGGGACATGGAGATAAAATAACCCGATAACCCGAGATGGACACGTGGGAAACCAGAGTACGTCATCATCTCCATGAATCGATTTTCCTAACAGATCATGCACACACAGGGAAGTGTAAGTTGGCAAATCTTGGGGCCACGAGCTGTCTAGGAAGCACCAGGAAGGACTACAAGAGCTGAAAAACACGTGTCCTAATGCGGGGCTGGGGAACTTCCCAGGAATCATTTGTTCAAAGTAGAACTCCATCACCCGCAGCAAGTAGAAGGAAACTCTGGGCCCCGGGACGCGGGAGCTCCCTGCTGGAAGACCCCAGGAGGCGTCAGCCCGCCTCGCTCCCCAGGCTCACCTCGGCCGCCGGGATGTTGACCACCCCGGTGGAGCGCCGCTTCTCCCGCAGCTTCCTCTTCTCAATCTGCCCCTTGCCTTTCCTGGCGCTGGGGCCCGAGCTCCGGCCCTTCTCCGGGGCGCCGTCCGGCTCCTCCTCGTCTGCCCGGGACGGCGGCCCGGAGGCGGCGGCGGCGGCGGCGGGGGTCTCGTCCTCTGGCCGCCGGGAGCCGGGGGCCGCCCGGGGCAGCGCGGCG